TTCTTCTTTGTGATGTCTCAGGCATATCTGTCAGAAGAGGAGTTTGAGACAGTGTTTGGAATGACAAAAGAAGCATTCTATAACCTGCCAAGATGGAAGCAAGACTTAACAAAGAAGAAATTTGATCTGTTCTAGAGACCAAGCTCGGTCATTTGCCTGCTTCCTCCACGTTCTGACTACCAATACCTCATTTCATTCTCTGTGCCTGAAACTCATGGTCTCATTGGTACACTCCATACATATATTGCCATGGTCTACTTGCCATTTCTTATGAACTTAGCTATAGCTTTGGTGTTGATATCGGAATTTGATTGTGATGCATCGTGACATGAAGAGTGATTCTCCATTTCTTTTGCCTGGTAATGATCACATTAGTTTGTAGTTGCAAAATACAGACAGGAAGACAAAATTCTTTTATTTGGTTGGTAATTGTTATGTATCCTCTCATCTTGTGGTTATTTCATGTTTTGATTTTGTTAAAAGAAGGTGGTGTATATTGTCTTTGCTTTTGTATTGAATATTTTGAACTCCCATATATGGAAAATATGTTGTTTGCCCATGTGAAATGCTTTCCTCACTCTAATACAATAATTAATGTTTCTATTTTCCTAGTCAGATGGATAAAAATATTTAAATTATAGATAATAACGAGAAGAGGGTTCTTCAGGTAAACTGTATATAGTTCATACTGTAAAATTGTTTAAATATTTTTAATTTTGTTTTTATATTATTTCATTAAAAGTATTTAAATAATTTTATAAGACAGACTATATACAATTTTAACCTATGAAACAGTTTTCTGTAATAACAACTATTGATCATTCTATGTTATCAGCTCTCGGCTAACTTCCAAACCGAGTAAGGTCATGGTTAAAATCTCTTTCCTTCCCAAGGACAACAAGAACAACAAAATCAAAATGGACAATATTTCATAAATGCGTAATACAAACGTAAATCTTGATGTGGATTGACAACAACAGTAGAAGAGAAAATACATATATAGAAAATGAATTCCACATGAAGAAATTGTGATGATATCTAAATTGATAACGAGAGGTTTAGAACAGGTCAGAAAAGGTGTGTCCCAAAAGAAAAACAATACATGGTACATGACACGGGACCATTGGAGCAAATTACAGCTAGCATGTGCAAAGTTGCATAAATTAAACATGAGTAAAATATCACGTAACATTATAAATTTATAATATGATATATTTTAATTTATATAATTAGTTTTTTTCTTGCCTTGAGTTTATCTATGTATATATATATATTTTTGTATAATCCAAATGTTTCACTTTATGTATCACTCTTAAAAAGTAAGACAATTTAAGCTAAACAAAAGATTTGGATACTCTCAAAAAATTTCATTGCTTAGGTAAACATGTATGTCACTTTTTTACCAAAAAACAGTAAAATTAAAAATAAAATTTTTGTATTAATATTATTGTTTTGTCAAATGTTGTGTTCATAATGTAATAACAATAAAGATACAACATTATTTGAGAATGTCAATAAAAAGATAATTATTCATTAATTTTTTAATCCTAACATAGAAGACATGCTTTTAACTAAGTTGAAAAGAGATTACTCTCGATATGTTTGTATGTTACTTTAGAAATACTCTGACCATATTAAACCTTAAAAAAAAAAAAGGATAAACAAAAAAATGTAGCCAAAAAATTTCCAAAAACATGATATCTACATGAAAGATTTCAAATTGCATTTAACTATAAAAGTATAAAAACTATTAGATATAGAAAATAGTCTCTAATATCAAAGACTTTAATTTTTATTCAATAATTTATGTGATACAATCTATCATATTTCAAACTCATAAAACTTTTTGTAACTAAAATACTA